GTAGAGTATAATTCAACCCCACGTTATAGCATACGTCAGAATATCCTTCCTTTTTTATTGGAGCATTGCCTTCCTTTTTAAGGCTGAATAATCCTCCATTTTTTGTACGTGCGACGTTACGTTTATCCATTCATCCGTCAGTGCACATTTGGGTTGTTTGCACCTATTGGCGATTGTGAATAACGCTGCTATGAACACAGGTGTGCAAATACCTTTTTGAGATGCTGCTTTCAATTCTTTTGGATGAATACCCACAAGGGGGACTACTGGATCGTACAGTAACTCTATTAATTTTTGTGAGGACGTGCCATATTGTTTTCCATAGTGGCTGTACCATTTTGCATTCCCAACAGTGTAGAAGGGTTCCAGTTTCTCCACATCCTCACCAAAACGTGTTATTTTGTTTTTTTGATAGCAGCCATCCTAATGGGTGTGAAGTGATATCTCATTGTGGTATTAATTGGCAATGATGTTGAGCATCTTTTCATATACTCCTTGGCCATTTGTGTATCATCCTTGGAAAAATGTCTACTCAAGTCCTTTGTCCATTTTTTAAGTTGGACTCTTTTTTGTTGTTGAGTTGTATATAGCTACTAGTTTTTAAACTGTATTATAAAACATTTCAGGAATACAAAATATAAAAAATAACTTGATGAATACCCTATACCTAGAATCCAACCTAAAACAGAAAATCTAACTGATATATTTGAAGTTTCCAATGTCCTTCTCCGGACTGAATTTCCTTTCATACTTTCACTACCCACCAAGAGAACTACTATCCAGACTCCGGCATTTATTATTTCCACCATTTTTTATACATGTAACAAATATCTGTATATCTATATCTATTCTAATATAGCATATTTTACTGGCTTTAAAACTCAATATAAATTGTCGTTTATAATATTCTTCTGCGGCTCCATTTATCAGGTTTGTGAGATACATTCTTCTCGATACATGTAATCTCAATTTATTCATTTTCATTGCTCTATAGCTGTAGCTCTCAAATTTTTGGTCTTAGGACTCCTTTACCTTCTTAAAAATCACTGAGGCTGCCGAAGAGGTTCAAGTGGATTAATCAATATTTGCCATATCAGGAAATAACAATGAGAAGATTTTTAAACACATATATTAATTTTAGATAATAAAAACCCATTACATATCACATGTTAGCATAAGCAACATATTTTACGATTAAATATTTTTCAATGCAAAAAAGCAATGGGAAAAGTGGCACTGTTTTACATTTTTGCAAGTCTTTTTAATGTCTGGCTTAATAGAAGACATTTGGCCTCTTACACCTGTTTCTGCATTTAGTCTATTGACACCTGTTTCTGCATTTAGTCTGTTGCTATCGTAACACACAGCCTCTGGAAAACTCAGAGAATGAGACTGAAAATGTGAAAAAGGTCTTAGTCATGCTGTGAAATGAGTTTTGACCTGGGAACACCCTCAAAGTCTACAGGATCTCCAGGGGTCTCTGGACCACACTTGGAGAATCATTGCTCCTTAGAATTACATTGAAATAAATATATTACAATTTCTTTATCCGTTCTTCTGTCAATGCTTTTTTTTTTTTTGCTTTTATTAATCATACAATTACGAACATTCTTGCAGATATCTCCTCGGGTGCATGTTTCTACAGAATATGCACAAAGTAGTGAACTACAGGGTTCTGGTGTATACACATCTTCAACTACAGTAGTTATTGTCAAATTGTTCTCTAAAATTCAAAATCTGTAAATGTGTCACTAGTCTCCAGCACCTAAAACTTTAATCAAGGTTATCTCTGGGAGGCAGGAAATGTGAGGATAATTTTTTACAACTTGAAATATAACTAATAGTATGGAATTGTATCTTATATCTGGAGGAAGGTCTCCAGAACAAAAAGGTGCTTGTTAGCAACAGAAATAGCAAAAAAAAAAAAAAAAAAACAGCCTCAAAAACAAACTCTGGCAGAGCTCATTCAAGTAATTCTAGGGAAGAAACACACCCATCTTTCTCTCCATCCTTTCCAACGCCCAATTCAACCATCTGTTGTTGAATTCAGCTGTGTGACCTTAGGCCAAGTTATATCACCTCCCTGGGTCCAATGTCCTCATGTGTAAAATGGTGATATTTCATGGTTCTATGGATTAAAACACATTAACTTCAAGAAGATGATAGTGTCCCTGGGATACATGACTCACACACAAAGCAACACAGGCCAGTAGGTGAAGTCCACACAGATTTCTGAAGACAGAAAACTCCACACTGGCAGCTTTAGGAGAGAAATGGGGCTCAGAGCTGGGAATTAAAGGGCTGGAACTGGAATGAGGGGAGGTAAGATTGGAGTAGGCACGCATATGAAAACAGTTCCCCTTTGTGACAGCTTGGTCAGTGATATTTAGAGGCGGTGGCTAGATTCAGGGCCCGGGGAAATGCTGTGGCTGATAGCACTTCTCTAGAGAGCCCTAAATTTAGAAGGAACCTGGTAAGGCCACGCCCACGCTGTGACTTGGCTTCTCCTGCAGATATGGCTCCGCCTCCCCTCCTCCACCAGCAAGCTTCCCTTCTCCACCTTCCATCAGCTGCTCTACCCTCTGCCCTTTGACTTCTGCCACCTCTGCTGACCTTGCTCTCCCAAAGGGCACCAGTGATGTCAATTTCCAGATCCATCAGCTCATCCTGGGTCTTCTTCCGTGATATTAAACAACACTGCTGACTCCCCTTCTTCCCTCCTTCTGTCCTTCCACCTCTTTGGTCACTCTTCAGGCTACTCTATTGGTTCAGCTTCCTTTACCTAAACTTCTGAAATATGTCCAGGTTTTGACTTGACTCCTTTCTGGCTTATCTCACCCACGTTGATGGCTTCGCTGATTCTCTACTTAGTGGTAACTTCGAAAAGGACATTTCTTCTTAAACCACACTTGCACGCCCTTCAGTCCTATACTTTTAACTACAAACTGGACACTTCCACCAGCTCAAGCACAGACAAAATAAATACTAATTCTACCTTTTCTTCAATGCCCAAGACTCTCCTCTCTCTCCTCTCTTGATCAATGGAATTACCATCCACTGAATCTTCCAACCTGGAAATACTGGAATTAACTGTGAGTACTCTTCTTTTCATCTCTCACATCCAACTGTGCAACAAGACCTACCAGTTTTATCTGGTTATTTCTTTTGTATTTGATCCTTACTCTTTAATCTTTTAGCTTGAGAACTTCAGACGTTTTCCTTAGATTATTACAATAGATTCCTAATTAGTGCCAACCCCTTGTCTTTGCATGCTGTCTGTTCCTCCTCCATCTTAGCCCTAAGATCTGCCTTTCCAAATCTCTTCCACGTTGAGAATCATGAAACACCTTCTCTTTGCCTAAAGTATAAAGTCCAGACCCAAAAGCCACACGATTTCTTCATTATGGACAAACTTCCAAACTTCAAGGAAATTCAACTTGGGCTAAAGATATCGATTAAACAAGACATTTAAAAGTATTTTGGTTTCTTAAAAATGTGTTCTTCTAAGTAGTTCTGAATTTGTTTCAAAGAACCTTCAGCAAAGCAAATCTTCCCTCACACAACTAGTAAGATGGAAACAGACATATAATGTGAGTTAAAAAAAAAAAAAAAAAGCTTAGTAAACACAGGGAGGGGACATATGCAGAAACCCACAGCTGATTTAATTTGCAAAACCGCAGCTTTAGCTCAACTAAAGTAAAGATGACTTAGATAAAATACAACCAGAAAACTGAGATAAAAGATATGGGGTAAATAAGTTAAGCTGATGATTTAGCAAGCAAATGTCATGGATGTATAGCATGAAAGTCTGAGAAAGCGCTTTGGACAAGAAAGCTGATGGACTGACTCCAGGGAGCCCCTGGGAGCATGAAGTTCTCAGGGGACTCCCTGCCTGCTGGAAGAGCATCATTTCCTGGACCACGTCCCTTCCCTTGTGAGGATATGGTCACTTAGTTTCAGGAGGAGAAAGAAGATTTTTTAGGTTGAAGTTGAATTTTGAGATTGGCGTGGGAGACCATTGGTGTTTATTAAGGCGGTTTTGGAGCCAGAGTTATATATAGTGGAAGTCCCGAGGGCTTCAGTGTGGTCTTGACTCCACCACCAACCAGCTGCGACACGCTGAATATCTCATCTGAGCCCCATTTCCTCGCCTTTAAAAGGAGGGGTCTAGAAAGAAAAACTCATATTTGTACTTGCTAAAATTCTACACTTCACTATTTTTACCTCAATATTATGAAGATCAGAAGATGCTAAGAGACAGTGTTTATCCTTAGGATGAAACAACAGGGGAAAGACTGTTTAAAATTGCCTAGTGGTATTCCTTTTACAGTAAACTATTTAGACAGTACCAAGTGCATTCTCAAGCACCGCGAGGCATGTTTCCTCCGATGTGGCTTGTGTGGAGGTTAAAAGGAGGAAAGGGAGTGACAGCTTGGGGGCCTGAGCTGCAGGGGTGGGAAGTAATTAGATAGCCCTTTAGTTTCCTTCTACTCATTTGCCCACCTGCTGAAACTGCAGCAAGAAGCAATAAAAAGTTGTGGATTTTTTTTTTTTTAAGGTACAGACCCTCAGTACTCATCAGAATAGTCAGATTCCATGTATCTATTTAGACAACAAATATAACGACCACCTACGAAGTCCCAGGCATTTACCTGTAAAGAAACCCAGTGGTGACAAAGGAGTCAGTGATGACAAAGGGCCTCACGGAGGAACAAAGAAGACAAGGGTTATGTATCACTTGGGACCAGGGAGGGACAGAACATGCTTTTTCCATATCTCCCGACGGCCTGTCAGCACCCTTCTTTTTTACTTTTTTTTCTAACCATGATTTTATGGCACTGAGTGCGTATCAGATGTTTTTCCTGTCCCTCCCTCTCCATAGAGAGAAAGCACTTGGTAATCTAAGAACAGGCCAGGTTCCAGAAATTCGTCTCTTTAGTTCTTCACTCTCTTTACTGATTTCACAGCACTGCAATGATCTAATTATCTTATTTACATACTGTTTATTTATCTTACTCCTCCGTGAGGGCTGAGACCTTGGCCCTCTTTTCTCCGCCATTGGCCCTCTTTTCTCCGCCGTATTCCCAACACCTGGATCAATCGCTGATAACGATCAGTGAAGGGCTTGACCAATGAATACTTGTGGACTGAATAAATCCCCGCCTGCTCCATCTTGTAAGAGTTCCCATTTTCTCTAAGTTACTCATTAAACCGCTCTAACGTGTGAAGGAAATCTCAGCAGTACTTGCATTTTTAAGAGGATCTGTGTTTCTTAAACTTCTAGTTGGCAGAATTTCAGGTACTGGAATAAAGTGAAGTGAGGACTTTCAGGCGGTGTACTGGAGGGTATTTTGAGATCAGGTGGGAAGTAGCATTCCAAAGGCGGTCACCCTTTGATGTGCTGGGACGTCTGTTCCAAGAAAAAACAAATTCCTCTGTATTGGTCACAGCTTTCTCCCTCCCTCTCTGGCCAAACCCATAAATCCTCTAAAAGTGCTGGCTGGGGAGGGCTGTGCAGCAGGGGCCCACGAAGGTCAGAAGGATAAGGTTAAAACAGAAGCCACAGAAAGCACAGATACGCTATATTTCTTCTGCCCCCAAGATGGTGCATCGTGGGTGTTATGTGCCTCGGTGGCTACTATAATTTTCCTACTTACTCATTTTCAGGACTAATATTTATATTCAACCTCTGAAAATTGTCCATTTGCTCAAATATGAAATATCTATGATATTTCTGGTTGTTATTTTGCAAACCAACCAGAAAAATAATAAAGTACAGAGTTCTTAAAATTTTTTTAAATTATTCTTTGGAAAATATTGGCAAAAGAAACGTTTTCTTTTTTCTTCGGTACGCAGGCCTCCCACTGTTGTGGCCTCTCCCGTTGCGGAGCACAGGCTCTGGATGCACAGGCTCAGCGGCCATAGCTCACGGGCCCAGCCGCTCCGCGGCATGTGGGATCTTCCCGGACCGGGGCACAAACCAGTGTCCCCTGCATTGGCAGGCGGACTCTCAACCACTGCGCCACCTGGGAAGCCCATGTTTTCTTGAATAAGGATATCACTTTGAACTTTTCGGGATCCTGTGCTTCAGGAACTTGTCAAATAACAACAATTAATAAGTAATAGACATAAAAGGGATCAGAAAATTAATTTGAATCTTACCAGTGATTTCGTAGATATACTGACTAAAGAGCAAATTACAAAGTTACCTCAGGTATACACTGAGAAACAATTTAAGTATATCTCACAGCATAAGAATATGTCATTCTTCTCATTTCCAGAAATGCCTTATAAAGTCGAAGTTCAAACTTCAAAGTTATCACCAAAGAAGTTTAACCTGGCTGCATTTCGCACTCAGTTTTAATTAAACACTTTCTTCTCAACAGCTCTTTGCAAATTACAGCAGTCAGTATGTGTATATGTATATGTATGTGTGTGTGTGTGTGTGTGTGTGAGCACGCGCATGTCCAGAGCTGATAGAATTTGCCATTTTAAAATGTGCCCCAAACCGTAATTGAGATATAAAGAGGGAAAGAAGTCTCAAAACTCATTTCTTAGAATTAATACCACTGTCAGGTAGTATTTTCAAAAAGTGAGTCCATAGATACAGTATATTGCCATATTCAGCCTAAGCCAAGTAGAGCATTAGGAAGATGGACTACGGCATCCCAATGCCTGCGTTCAAATCCCGGCTCTGCGGTTTAGCAGCTCGGTGACTCTGAACAAGCTGTTTAACTGGTTTCCTCGTCTGTAAAATGGGGACAATAACAGGACCCACCTCAAGTGAGTTAATAGATGTAAACGGATCGGAGCAGCTCCTGGATGCAGAAAAAGCTCAATCCAAGTTAGTTATAAGTACTAGTACTGAGTTTGATACACTCAGCAGAGTCAAAGGAAAGATGGTCATATTTTCTTCCTCCACCATTTAGCAGAAAACATATTTTCTCACGATGATTACTTCCTTTACAGTTGTTTTGTCAAAAGGCGGCTCCTGCTCTTTCAAGGTGGGTCTTCCTCGCTGGGGATTAGCTACATCCTCCCTCCCCTGAGCCACACCACTTCCCCTGAACCTTGTCACCAGCGTCAAGTACAACAGTTTCACTTTGACGTTATTGAGTCAATTTGGCTCAGGAGGAAAGCTATTCAGACAAGCGAAATAAGCACCACCGTGGACTGAGGAGTGAGGGTCCCACACGTTTTCCCGGAAGCAGCAACTCTTCTTCCCTTTGCCCAACTTCTCTCCCGCCCTCTTGGTCGGGCAGTCACCTGTTGAGAAGGTGTGCAGCGGAGTGAGGCTGTGTTATTGTTTGGCATCGGGGTGCCCCGCCTTTTAACTGCACGTCCGGGATGCCCCGACAGGGTGCGGTTCCCGCATCTCTGTGGATGCACATGGCTGGGTCCGATGTCAGCCTTCTGTTTCTTCCTTCTTACCCATGACACTACGCTCTCACTGAATACTCTGTTTCAGCTCGTCTCTCGTCCTCTGTGTGTCTAGCGTGTCCCCTTTCTCTCTCTGCACGTTGGCGGTTCTGCATCCACCTTTGGTTCCGTCGCTCAGCTCACTCTTCACGGCTCTGACCTCCTCACACCGCCTTCTTCCTGTCTGGGGTTTTCTGGTCTTCCCTCCAGGCACCCCGCCACTCTACCCTGTGCGTAGACTATGCTGACTGTAATGCCTGAGCGCTTGCTCTGTGGGGGACAGGCCAGGGCTGGACTGGAGAGAGAGACTCGGATCCCTGCCCTCAAGGAGCTCACGGTGCGGTGGGGGAGGAGGGGGTGTTATTACTGCTGCGGTGGCTTCCTCACAGGGCACTTCACCGGGGGAAGGATGCTTTCATACAGCAGGGGGTGGGGGAGCCTTCGCAGAGGCAGTGATGTCTGAGGGGCCAGCCAAGTGAGGATGCAATGGGAAGAAGTGCATCCCAAGCACATGGTCCCACGTGGAGCTGTGCTAACCAAGTGGCGGTTGAAGAACGACTGGTGCTCGGGGCCTGGTGAGAGCGAGGCTGAGAGGCAGGCAGGGGACAGATAGGGAAGGACCTGGCAAGCCATGTGAAGGGTCTGGATCTTATTTTGTAGGTGACACAGAGCAAGGCGGAGAACGGCAATCAGATTTTTGTTTTCGTCAGGTCCTTCTGTCAGAGTGAAGAGGCTCCATCTCAGAAAATAAACGTGAGGTCACTTTTATGAAATGTTATCCCATAACAGCCTAAATATTTGTGCTAGGCTGTGTTTCCACAGATGGCTGCAAGAGCACCTCCCATTCCAAAGCTCTTCTGCAATGCCACTTGGCCGGGCCCCTCCCTGTGATCTTGGCTGTCCTGGGATTTGCTTGGACCAGTAGAACTCCGTGACGCTCTGTGTCTTCTTAGTTTGGCCCTTAAGAGATGCGAGCCTTTGTGTGTTGGGAACACTCACTCTGAGGATCTAATCACCATGAAAGGAAGCCCAAGGTAGCCGCACAGAGAGAAAGAGAGGGAGCGGGATGTCCCAGTCTTCAAGCCATACCTACCCAGTGCCATATAATATATGAGTGGTCCCATCTCAGATCTGTGCGCAACCTCACGAGAGACGCCAGGTGAATCCATCAGGCGCAGAACCAGCCCACATTCCTGAGCCACAGAATCATGAGCAAAGAAAATTGTGTTGTTTTAAAAGCCACTAAGTGTCAGGGAAGTTTGTTACACAGTGACTGGTACCCAAAGACCCAAAGCAGCAGTCTAGGTCAAATAAATAGCACACCACAGCCTTGACAAGTTCAGGACGATCGCACTGGTCCACTGTCAACATGTGCTAAGCTGTACTTCACTTAATTACTTATCACCAACTCTTATTTCAAGCCTATGTCACACTTAACGGATGAGCGCTCAAGCTTTTACAAAAAATGGTTCTTAGAAAATGTAATCCTCTGATTCCATCTTGCAAAAAGGCTAAGAAAATGCAGATTAAAATTGCAATTGTTTAAATGCAGATGAAAATTCCCTGGAATTCAGTCTGAACTTTCCTAATGGTAGTTTTCAGACAAATAGCCAAACAAACACGTGTCTCACTTTTCGGACCTGCAGAATGTCTGTTGGTTCTTTATAATTTGCTTTCTTAGCTATATTGCTAAATGTCTTGAGATAGGCCAGTACTTGAATAAACGGTGTGATCTCTCTCTGGGTCTAGATATTTAGACCTAGAGATCTTGACTATTCTTCCATGAGAAAATATCTACAATATTTTTTCAGGAGAAAAGTGATTTTGTATATTTAAAGGAAGATATATTCTCTGTTCTGAATACCTCTAGTCTGTTCTCGAAAGAGAAAGGCTTGCCCTTCTTCCTTTCATTTCAACTGAAATAATAAAATTCAAATATGATGTTATGTGATGACATTTCTCTCTACCAGCTCCGCCTGTGGGAAACTGTTAACGGATAACTTTGCCTTCATTAATTTCTAAAATTATGTGCTAGTTTATGCTCGGCAATATTGGCAATTTGGGGTCAAGTAAGTTGCATTTTATTTTAATAAGTAATGCAAAGCCTTTCCTACTGCTCACGTGGCTTTCTTTCCTAAAGCACTTTTCATCAAAGTTCCCAAGTGCACTATAAACAATAACAAATCTCAATGCCCAGGAACTAGGAAAGAATCCCTGTTGTCAAATCCTTCGTTTTATTGGAACGGAGGAAGGTTAAAGTATTTTGTGCTGAACCTTTGGCAAATATTCAGGCTGCCTCTGCTCCAGAACTTGGAATTATGCAATTTATTTCTCCCTGAATTATTTCAACGTTAAAAGGAGTTTTACAAAACTATCTAGGACTGGCTCAGCTGCATGTAAGAATTACTCTGATGAAAGAGTTTATTTATGGCTACTGTGAATATCACTCCATCTGTACAGCCTAAATATGTCCTTAAAAATGCATGCTAATTTATTTTTCCTTTCCAATGACTGATGCAGAAGAATGAAGAGAGTTCCCATTCTGAGAGGGGAGAAGATGCTGCTATTCATCACGATCCTATCTTCCAGAAACAAAGTCCACTGAGGAAATCAAGTTGTTCTTTTTGGAGAAGCGGCATTTTGAGAAAACCTGGTTGTTATTAGATTTCTTGTGTTACACAGTAGAAGAAAAAATGTGTTGCTGTTATCATGTGAAGTTTTAATTTGCAAAATCTAAACGACAGTGGAATGATTTCAGTGTTTGGGTGACTGCACTCCCATTTACTGGTGAAGGGTTACACTGCTGGTTATATTCTCTGTTCTGCACCTGAGCTTGCGAGCGGGCTAACTACAGACAGGGAGCCATGAAATGTATCCACTACTGCGCCACACCAGGTGCCTGGGTGAAATCCCGGTGTGGCCAGAATGTGTAGGTATCAAAAGAACCCCCCGCCCCCCAAACAGCTACAATATATTAGGGCCAGGAGGGAT